CTGTTGTTACACTTTGAACGATGTGGACTGCGTTTCTTATGGTCGGGCTTTTAAATGGCGTTTAAAGGTCGTTAGTCATGAATCTATGAACGAGACGACGCGTATAAAGGCATCTCGTTCATTCAAACAGATTCGCGAGCAATAGCAGTGACAAACGTTCGTGATTGGTAATCGTGATCTTTAAGGAAAACACGCACTCGTCTCCGCTTTGATTAACGGTCTATGCATCTTGTATACCGATATTAGATTCTCGAGTACCAGCGATCTGCTGGGCTTTACGATGAAGCTACCGCGAATATCAACTTTCACAGTCTCTGAGAGTTTGCTCGGGGTGTTCAAATTGCATCCGAAAGTTCTCGCGCCTAATCAGCTTCATCCGCCAGGCGTTAATTGATTCCTGTGGAGAAAGCAACATGAGCTTAAGCTAAAATTTCAATTGCGTATAGGGTAGACGCTGCACTGAATGATTGTTTAAGCCCTTTTCCTACCAATGTAAGTTAACTTTAATTTTCATTTAACTTATTTTTTATCTTTTTTTATATAGTTCTTAGAATTAGACGAGGCTAAAAAGTAAACTAAACCGAGATTAAAGTTAATCTATATTGATAGAAATAGGCATAAATCTGCAGTGATGCGCAATCTGCCGACTCATAGCCGAAAATATAAAATTATATTCTTTATTTTATGTAAACGAAATAAATATTATGCGGTCCGTAAAATTTTACTAATTTTTAAAAAATGGCCTTTTGAAAATGATTCTTAAAAGTAATCATTGGTTGAAGGAATGTTGCTAGAGTTAGCCTTTTCAAATTTTATTGTAAGACGAGAATATTATTTTACATATTTATATAATAAAAAATCAAATAAATGTTAGTCTTGCATTATTAATTTTAGTAATTGACAATTTATTGTTTACTATTTCGTTCATGATATCGATCTCTCGCGATGATCTACGACACGATACAATTTACGTGACACGAACGACGTATTGATTGTCTACAGATAACGCGTTATGAGTACATGAGTACATGACACGCATCACTGTAAACGTATAATAATGATTTCCGGCTGATATACTGGAAGATTTAATCTTACATCAATAATCTTTCGCAAAATAATGGAATGTGCATTTAATTGTCATTAACGATAAATCATCATAGCGAATGTCATCAAGCATCGCGAGAACAATACATAATGAATGCTTTGTTACTCGGAAAATACAATCGTGCAAAAAAAAGGATCGAGTTGCAATACAAATACGTATTGCAAATATTAGATAATGTTAGACAAATGGTAGTCAGAAAAAAGTAAAAAAAAGAAGAGAGAGAAAAAGAGAAGAGATACAGGATGAGAAGAAGCATTGATAAGTCGTTTTACGGATCATTATCTTCGGACGTCATCTTGCGAAGTATCTAGATAGGCTCGACCTTCGGTGTTATTGCGTCCATGTCTAGATTGCGGAAGGTAGGGGTTTCGAGAGATCAACGATCTCCTCGATAGAGACAATCAGCAAAAGTAGAAGAGAAGTGCTATTTCATAAGTACGTTTGAAGAATAACCTCCGTTTACTCACGGAACTTCGACGTAGAAATAGTTTGGGAGATAGATATGTATGCATTTTTGATATGTTATGTTTGATGCATAGTCGGAAGGAGGGAAAAATAAAAAATTTCGAAATATCTTCAAATTTCTGGGAGAACAGTTTACAAAAAAGAGAATATTTTATTATTTGTAAGTTATTATTATTATATTTTTACAATTAGGCTGATTGAAAAGAAAGTTACATATACATATATTGTTAGATTAGCTTTACTAGTTGATTCTGAATCTTATATATACGTTAACAATGAATCATCATGGCGAATATATCATTAGGCACCGCCGGAGAACAATGACATAATGAATGCTTTGTTACTCGAAGCAATACAATATCGTGCAAAACAAGAGATCGAGTTGCAATGTAAATACATATTGTAGACATTAGATGATTTTGGATAAACAGGAGTAAGAAACAAAAATTTTTTTTTGTTTAGTATTTTTATTTAAAACAGAAAAGCTGCGATCACAATTTGCGAGATTAAATAATTTTTATGTCGAGAAATGATATCTCCTAGTGCGATTGATTATAAGTACCTAATATGTGTAATTCAAAGAAAACTTCAGAACATACATACTCGTACACTCGCATGATCTCTCTGGATCCAACGTGTTAGATTTTATTCTATTTGCTTTATTTACCTCGTGATCTCCATTTAGCAAATTTCCAATTTTTTTTAATAACCTGAAATTTTTAGTTACATACATTTAACTTTTGCAATCAGTATTAATAACAATTTAAACATTACAAAAAGTAATTAATTTTGCATGTGAAAAATTAGACTTATATTTATCTTAATTTTATTCCAACTAATGATTTTAACTTTTTTTATTATTTAAAGTGTCAGATAGATATCATACTTTATATCTCAAAAAAATATATTCTGAAAGAATTAATTTTTGCTTTCGTATAAAATATTTTTCGTATAGTTTCTCGAGACGGAAGTACATAACACTTTGCGAAAGATTCAACCATTTAATTAATACGAGTTTAGTCGCTGGTACAGAAATTACAATGTCCAGAATCTTTCCCGGTGGTAGTTTTGAAACTAAAAACCGGAACCCGACTCATGATTCATTTTCTGTACGCATCAGTGATTCCGACATAGTTTCTGCGCATATTTTTCGAGACAAATTAACCCGTGTATTGGAACTGAGTGGAAACGCGACCATTTTTTAGAGTATTCGACTGTGTACATCAAGATCTGGGTCCACAATATTTTTCAATTGTTATATCGTCAGAATGCTTTAAATACAATTTCTCTTTTTTCTAAGTTTTGTCATAAATATACAATTAATTTTTTATCTTTGTTTTCTCTCGATATCGATAGAAACTATCATCTGAAATAACAAGATATGACGTTATACTGACAAGAGAAAAATTTCTAATTAAAAATGAACAAACTAGATCATATCAATCAAAATTCTGGCCATCATGATTGGACATCTAGTTATCTCAACTAGAATTTTGATCGATATGATTAAAGTTTACTGAATCGTTCATTTTCAATCAGAAATTTTCCTCAATGTAATAGTATTAATAATAAATAATACAAATAGTAATGATATTTTCGTAATTCTTAGCTGTTTCTGCAAAAGTGTTGTTAATAACATGATTTCCTTGATTGAAATTCCTTGATTAGGATCTTAATTAAATTAATTAGAAAATTCTAATTGAGATAACAAGAATTCTGATTGATTTAATCAGAATTTTTTTTATGGTTTGTCCGTTTTTAACACCAAACATTTTTTTTTAGTGTAAAGTTTTACGAATGTTTCCGTAAACTGTATGTTATGTATAAATATATAATTAATCGCGATGTCTTTTGTCGGTAAAGTGCTCAATGGAAATATCTAAAAACTTATTCAGTTTTTTTTCCATTTATCAAGGACATGTTCATCTATAAATCTCTTATAGGTTCCTCATCTCATAAGATATATGAAGTAAGGAGGGTACAACTTTCATTTTTCCGCGATTGTTCGAGGATCGTTTTATTTCTACATTTTCTCACGTATTTTTTTTCATGGAACGAAGTTATCATAATAACGATGCTATCAAGGATATAGTGAAATAAAAAATAAAATTCTTGTTTATATTGTTACGAAATTGCTATTAATTATGTTTCAATTATTTAAACACCGATTCAGAGTTGTTGATACAATTTTAAATGATTGAAGCATAATTAATAGCAATTTTATAACAATGTGAATAAGGATTTTATTCTTTATTCCAATTTACCAATTTCTTCTTGAGAGTAGTATTATTATTATGATAACTTTCGATTTCTATGTAAAAAAATACATTAAGAAAATGTAGAAATAAAGTGATCCCCGGACGGCTGCGAAAAAATTTGTACCCTCCTTTGTGTGTATGGCTTGTTTTAAACTTTTTTAGTTTTTACCTCTCTTCTACATGAAGAAAATTATTAGAATTCTAAACTTTTTCAGTCTTTAACTCTTTTGCATGAAAAAACTATTAAACAGTAATTTTCTCATTAATCAAATTTATAATTTGATATTTTTTTTCCATTTATTCATGATACAGTATTATTGACGCTGCTTTATCAATCTCGCACGATTTGATTATATTAACTGTGTTTGCGGACTAACTCCACGTTACAGACGATTGGATGAGTACTATGCCTGCGAATGTCGTGCGTCATCAGCGAGCGCGATAATGATTTCGGTGTACCAGCTGTTTTGTTTTAGAGACACATTTCATTTATGTCGTACAGTTTTTTTCCTCCCGTTATGAACTCTCGAGGTTGAATATATACAAATATTATCTGTTTCATTGTATATTTATTACAATAACAATAGTGATGTTGATGATAATGGTGTTAATAACGTGAATAATAATTCAAGGCAACACAGTTATGTTCAAAATACGTTTAATAAACGTTAAGAATCGTTTAATAAATGCATGAACTGAAAAATAAACTTTTAAACTTTGATATGTTTTTAAAACTATTTAATAAACGTCATAAAAACGTTTTATAAGATTCTTATAACGTAAGTTTAATGGTTTTTTTTACTACTATAAAATACGTTTTATATATGAGACATTTTGACGGTTTAATAAACGTATATTTAACGTTTTTACACACCATAAAAATGTTTCGATTAAATGTTTTCTAAACGTAAATAGTCTGCTTGGGAATGATAATAATAATAATAATAATTGCAAATAGTAAATTTGAATAAATATATTTTATCCTAGCTCTCTTCCTGTCAGTTATATTTTCAGCAATTTAATTTTTTTAATTCCGATGTTATCAATTGATTAGGAATCAAGTAAATCACAGTGAGGTGAGACTGTGGACTTTTGCGATCGGCACAAATGTGTAATACATTTAGGCAACGTTATAGAATAAGTGTGTGTCTAATTGTAAGTCTTAATCTCGCTCCACAACCTTGCTTTAAGAGGCTTTAAGTCATAAGTCGAAAGAGATTAAATGATAATAATTTCTGTCTTTAGAGTGTTTTTGCGCGGTCTTTAGGCTTTAACCGTTAGACTTAAGCGAATTGAGCAAAACCCTATTCTTACGGCCTAAAAGCATAAATTTTGTGGTCGATATCGTCACTTATAACTTATTATAGCTTACGGTTTACGGGCTCTTAAAGCAAGGTTGTGAACTTACCCTTACTCTAAGTTTTAGAATAAATTTAAATTTTTTGTCGCTATCTTGCATTAAAACTTTCTATCTTGTCTGGCTAAAATAAGTAATTTATGGTCAATATTTGATTCTTATATTTAAGATCATCTTAAGTACAGTCTTAAGATGCCATGAGCCAATTACAAAACCGCATTAACATTTTAAGACTTAAGACATTACTTAAAATCCTCTAGCACCACCTCGAAATTTTCAATCATAGATTACACTCTAGGCCATTGAGGAAAACGGCATACATTTTTTATGATTCTGGACTACACAAAAATCTAAAAAAATTCTTCTACACTTGTGAAACTTTCAACAATAAGCTTTTACTATAATAAAAACTGGGGACTATATTTTATTTATTTTTTACATATTAAAATCTGAATAAGAATTTTGAGAAAATGTGATGTTGAAACTGTGTCTTAAACTGTATCTCAAAGGCCACAAATAAACGGTGCTGGAGGATTAAGATGATCTTGTAACAAGAATAGACTATGAATATCGATCTAAGTCAAATATCTGTTTTGTTTTATGTATAACAAATGTACTTAGTTCAGTCACAAACAACAGATCTCATGTCTTTCCGCACAAGAGGCATAGCTCTGGAGCCGGACTGACAAAAGACAAGAGTGAGTTCCTTGAGACAATGCTGGCGATACCGCAATGACTTCCTCCTTCTTTGTATCTCTTTTTCTCTCGCATATGGCATATGGATAGAAGAGACTGCCACGAATCCGGCGCAAACTGGCTCGATACTCGCATTAGCCGGTGCAATGACTGGAAATTCCGATAAGTGCGCCCGTCGTCGCTGCCGCACAGCGCCGTCGTCGTCTCTGCCGCGGCGCTCGCGAAAACGCGATACCGGATTCCTCAGTCACGACGACGACGACGAATCGCGCTTTTTTTGTGCGATGATGACGATGTCTTGTTTCTTTTTCACTTTTCAAGCTATTTGCTCGCGCGACCAAACGCTCGCCGCGGCAGCTGTTCTTCGTCGTACGTTACATAACGCATCTTCAACGGATGAGCCATGTCGCTGTATGTGATGCAAGACGTATCGTGCACCTGTGTATGCACACGACATCGTCGAGAGTTTCGTAGAGTTAGTTTAGACGTGACTTGGTGTTGGATAAGTTAAACATAATAAAATAGGCGTAATACGGGGATCACGTTTTTATTATATGTTTAAATATAAATATAGTAAATATAAATAAATTTTTAAAATAAAAATTTTAATTGAATCAGTAGAAATAGAATTAAATTATGATGGTTTTTCATTGCTGTTATATATTCTTTATTTTCTTTCAATTAGAGTCGATACGGATTGCGTCTGTTTTATTATGTTTAAATATAAGTAGGGTAAATGTAAATAAATTTTTAAATAAGAATAAATCTAAATTGAATAAGTAGAAAGAAAATTAAATTATATAGGTTTTGATTGCGTGCTGCACTGTTATACTTATAGTCTTTATTTTCTTTCAATCGCAAATCAGGAATATTTCTCTATTCTATTAATATCAACTACTTATTTTTATATAGCATTATTTTATGTTTCATTTTTTTAATATTAAGAATAATATTTAATTTAAATTTATAAGTAAATAAATACAAAAATTTTACAAATCAATAGTGAAGATTAATGTTGTTGATGCTAATCGGAGCTTAAATCTGTCTTCACCACGATGCGGTGTATATTTACAGCAGGACTTATGATCTAAATAGAGCATCGTTGAAGTTAGTTAAGCACGGCACGTGGTAATAATAAATTTGAACTCGACTCGTGCGAGCATATACGACATTTGTTATCGCATTGAGAGAGGAAGATGACATATTTTTTCATCCGCTGTCATAAAAGGAAAGAGGATAAGCGCACAGCAAACGCGTCGGTGATTTTCCTAGTTCACATTTGCGAATGCTAATATGAACATAGAAATTGTATCACTATTACAATTTTTCCATCCGACAAAGAATACATATTTTAAATTCAATATATTGTAAAGTACAGAACGCTATACTACGTGCTTCGTGATGCATTCAGCTGTGCCTAAACTGCACACAGTGTCCCTCGATTATTATCTTTATCTCTATAATTTTTAATTCGTATTTCAAATTAAAATAAGATAAACTCTAGAGCAGTAAAAAAATTGTATTAAAAAATTATATATCAATTATTTTATTATTTATATTTAAAATGCAGAATTCCATTATACCATTCTACAAAGCTTTAGAGAGATATTGAATTTATATTTATAAGGATATATTCCATTTAATTTTGCGCGATTGCAAAATATATTTATCAAGATATTTGTGTGGTACTATTTTTATCTTTTATGTATTATTAGCTTCATTATTAAATTCTTATTGATTTTTTAAAATTAATTTTTTATTATTAACTGTAATCACTTTTATGTACAAAATTAATAATTTTTTCCAATTTTTACATTATCGCTGAGGTTCAGAAATAGCAACAAATAGTTAAAATAATTTTGTTAAGTGCTGCGGATTGTCACAAAAAATTAGAGGCGGCTAAATAGTAATCGTGAAGTGAAGAAAAAATAAAAGAGATGGACTCTAACAAGCAGATCCAGACAGAAGGAATCGACCAAACACTTCGATGTGCATAATCATACTAGATATTTAGTATTTAAAACAGTGTAGATATGTGTATGCTTGAAAGTTTATCTATTACATATTAGCGAATTATTGATTATCAATTAACTATTTAGGGTGCGTTCCGATATTCACTGCCAGTGCTAAAAATCTATAGCGCACTTAACATATACTGTATAATTTCAGCACTGGCAGTGAATATCGGAACGCACCTTTAATTTCGAGTTAGATTATTGATTAATTTAGAAATTCAATTAAATTTATATATACATATATGCAGATATATGTATATACACATAATATGTCTATACACTGAGAAAAAAATATAGTCAATTTTAATAAATATTTAGTTCAATACTGTCAACTTTACTTATAGTAAATAAATATTTGTTTAGTAAAAAAATAATTGTTAAATCAAATTAATATTTCTTGTATCAAATAAATATATCTTTATATTTAATAAATATTTGGCATGTATTCAACCAAATATTTATTAAAATTGACTATATTTTTTTCAGTGTATGTATTGATATCTATACGATATATAATCAATTATTATATGTAACGTCCATTTATACTAGAATAATAAACGTAATGAGATAAATATTTAAATAATTAATTTTTCAATCTAAAATATTGATGTTGCCACGCGAATTTACACATGTAATAGTTATAAAGATTCTTAAGAATGTTTAGGCTGTATATACAGTATGTACAGTATCAGATATTAGCTAAAAATATCAGTCAAATAATCCGACAAAAAAGCTAATATCTGTCAATGTCATTTAAAACATTTTAATATGATATTAGTTCGTAAATATTACGTCCTGAAATCAAACTGCAAAAAACAAAACAAGTAATTTGGTTTATAATGGTTTTATAATGGTTTTATAATGGTGTAGCAAAATAACGGTTATTTTGCTACAATTTTAAAACCATTATGAACGAAATTACTTGTTTTGTTTTTTGCAGTTTGGTTTCAGGACGTAATATTTACGAACTAATATCATATATATATAGATATATTAAAACGTTTTGAATGACGTTGACTGATATTAGCGGTTTTATCTGACTGATATTTTTAGCTGATATCTGATATTTGTATGAACAGCCTAAACATTCTTACTAATCTTTATGATTATTACATGTGTAAATTCGTGCAATTTCGATATTTTTTTTGAATGCTGCGCAAATGAATCAACAATCGCAAACAGCTATTTAAGACAATATTGCGTATCTCACAAATGTCAGATTGTTTTTGACGGCGGCGTCATATATCGAGTGAAAATAAATACGTGGCGAGAACGAGAGGGAACCGGCAGACGTCAGCTGTCTATTCCTCGCAGAGGAGGAGAGCGAGATGGCAAGATCCGTGTTTAGAGCGTCTGCTGGTTACCTGGCGCTTCGTCATCGCCGCCGCCGTCGTCGTCGTCGTCGTCGTTGTTGTTGGCGACGTTGCTCCGGTTTTAGTAGTAGCGTCGCGACGCCTCAGATCGACCGATCCGCTCGCGCGTTCGCGCGCGTAACCGTGCGAAGCGAAGCGAAGCGACGCGATGCAAGGCGGTGGCGCGTCCGAGACCGCGCAACAGATCGTCGAATTCGAGGAGTTGGTATCGCGACTGGATCGCATCAACGACGTTGTGATTCGGCAACCGTCGACAACGACGACGACGACGACGACGTCGACGTCGGTGCCGCCGCCGTCGCCGCCGGCACGAGCGTCGTTGCATCTTCTCGGCGCGACATCGTCCCTGCCTTACGACTGTCCCATCGCGGATGCGACGCGTTTGCCCGTCAGCGACGAGCAGCAACGGGTGCGCAACATCGGCATCGACGAGGATCTGCGAATGATCCTCGAGATGGACCCGTCGATCGTCGACGGGAGCCTCGACCCTGGTTTACCCGAAAGTTGTCCCACCGTGGCACGACCGTTGCGCGCCACGCGACCGCAAGGCTGGTACTGCACCGATCGAGACTAACTCCTTAGTGTCTGATGTTCGTGCGCATTATACAGTTATTTTATTTGCTGTTACTCTTAATCATTGTGCTGGCATTTGCATTGCCTAGTGTTGGTTCTAATTAATCTGGAAATAGTCACCTGGGATAAGTTTTCCCAGTTTTTCCTCAGCTGCAGCAGCGAGAAAATGAAACTCAATCACACAGTAATTTTTTTTACAAAGATATATAAATATATATATATATATAGGGTAACTCCAGTATATACGTCGTACTGGGATTTACATCGCGGGAGTCAGAAAAAATAGAAGGAGTGAGGACAATTTTCTCGCAACTACTCTGTTACATGCCTTTATGTTATATTGAGTTATAATTTCAGCTTCTTACTGTTAATGTTAATGAAATTATTGTGCGTTGAATC